GACAGGCAAGTAAGGTGGGAAATTGTTGGGTTAGTTCTCATGGGACCAGACACCTCCCTTGGCACCTTTCTTACCTAGTATACTGTAGATTGTGGGAGAGGACAGATTCAAGACTCAGAGTGCCTTCTGCCTGTTGTCCCTCAGGTCCCTTGCACTTTAATAGGCGGGGCCAGCAGAGATGCAGCCAGTAGACAGGTAGATCACCATCTCCCCAGTCCAGACCTGTCGTAAGAAGGCACTCTTGGCTGAGGGATTTTAGTATTGCTGGAAAAGCCTGGGGAGTGTAGGCAGTGATAAGTCTGTTGTTGCCTGTTGCTCTCTAATACAGACTTCCAAATATAACTGGGAGAGTTAACCTGTGTGACAGCATTTAATACTGCTATAGAAAAAAAGCAAGAGAATGAGACTTGCTTGAAACCAAGATGAAAACATGTATCATGCAGATCGCTAAGCAAGTAGAAGTAATTAGTTAGGTGTCATGAGTCTTGTTGAAAGTTAACATTTTTGGGCCATAGTACAGGTCATCTAAAATGAAGTAACCTGGTAAGGTACTAAGAAATAGTGGGATATAAAGAAACTTTATTGAAGTAGAATCATTGAAACTTTATACCTGTAGAGATCTTGTTCTCTCTGGCAAACCATGATTCTTTCCTAAACCCCAATGTTGTATTTTTTGTTCCCCTAGATAGTGTTTAGGACAATTAAAAACAAAAACATTAATTGCAGGGTAGTTCAGGTTGTATGGACGCAGTACTTAAGACTGCGCATTATTCCTGATACAGTGGAGTAGTTAGGCTGTCAGAACTTTGGAAGCTCAGACAAAAATGTGACGGATCTGTTTCTGCTGAATTAGAGAGTTTCACATCTTTCCCCCTAAAGTTTGGGAAAACAATTAACTAAAGGTGTACATAGTTTGTTAGATTAATTGTAGTGCATGGTAATATTTGATGCAGTTGCCTCTCCTTAAGTATTGTGATTTTCTTCCTTTATTAAGAGGGTTATGGCTCATTCCATGCTTCTCTTGGGGTATCTCTTTATTGTATTGTGTGCTATTATACTTTAGAAGATAGTTTTAAGAAACATAAAAACCATGCTTGTTAACTTAACGCAGTAGTGTACATAATAGTAACAACAGCAGGCCAGTCCCCTCTGCCCTGAAAAACTGCAACTCCCATTACGTTTTCTCATATATGATCTGTTCAACCCGTTACTGTTTTCCTGAACTTTGGGAGTTTTAAGTAATGATATATTTGAAGGGACTATTTATAATTTTCACATGTTTAAGTTGTGAAGATTTTCAAAAGTTTGAATATAAGAATTGGTGTAGGAAAAAAATGATCTTTCCCTTCAATAAATTGATAATGTAGAACTAATCTAGAATAGATTGGAGACTGAATGTATTCTTACTCTTAGGGTTCATACCTCTAATTCATACGTTTAAAACAGTGCTGTGGTGAAGTAATAGGACCCTTTGAAAGCATCTACAGAAACATAAATTATACTGAGTTGTGCTCTACTGGTTTGTGAGAACATCAGTGTATTGAGGAGAATGGTAGTTTAATTTGAATATTTAAAGAAAGTAATTTGGATGGTTCTAGTAATAGGGCCATTGTTAACTAGTAATGTAAATTAGTGACTTTAACTGGGTGTCCTTATTATCTGATTTGTTGAATTGTCTGAAGTGAAAACTATTAAGGTGCTCCTTTAAAAATGTATTTGGAAACACCATAGTTAAAGTAAATACAATGTCTGAATTCAGTCTTGCATATTACGTGCTTAGCCAAATTTATGAAGTTAAGTTAGGTCAAATTGAAAGTTTTGGAGGCTTACATTTGGGGTGAATCTAAATTCATGTGTTTGGAGAGCAAAAGGACATAGGAAAAGAATTGATCTATTGAGGCAGGCTTGACTTTATAATCAAAGCAAAGTCATACTCCTATTACTCCTATATCATGTCCTATGTATTTATCAGAGAAAACAGTTTTCCCTCAGTTTTTTTTCCCATTCCTTACTCCTACGCCCATTAAACATAGCCCAACCAAATAAATATGCTCTTAACTTGAAGGAAAATGGCAGACTTGAGATACTTGCCGAGTATTTGATGTAGACAGAGTGTGACAATGAATAAAATCCCCATTCATTACCCTTCTAAGCCTCAGAGCTCAGTTTAGTGGGAGAGACTAATGTAAACAGTTTTTGTTTTTTGTTTTTGAGATGGAGTTTTGCTCTTGTCACCCAGGCTGGAGTACAGTGGCGCCATCTCGACTCACTATAACCTCCGACGTTCCTGGGTTCGAGCAACTCTTGCCTCAGCCTCCTGAGTAGCTGGGATTATAGTCGTCCGCCACCACAGCCAACTAATTTTTGTATTTTTAGTAGAGATCGGGTTTCACTGTGTTGTTCAGGCTGATCTCTAACTGCTGACCTCATGATCCGCCCTCTTTCGCCTCCCAAAGTGCTGGTATTACAGACATGAGCCACCATGCCTGACCAACAACTTTACTCAAAAGTAGATCAATTGGCCGGGCACTGTGGGTAACACCTATAATGCCTGCATTTTGAGAGGCCGAGGTGGGCAGATCACTTGAGGTCGAGTTTGAGACCAGCCTGGCCAACATGGCGAAACCATGTTTCTATTTGAAAAAAAAAAAAAAGTATATCAATTAGTGGTTGTCAAAGAAGTTTTTTTTGTTGGTTTGTTTTGTTTTGAGACTGAGTCTTGCTGTGTTGGCCAGGCTGGAGTACAGTGGCGTGATCACGGCTCACTTCAGCCTCTGCCTCCCGGGTTCAAGCCATTTTCATGCCTCAGCCTCTTGAGTAGCTGGGATTACAGGTGCCCGCCACCATGCCCAGCTAATACTTGTGTTTTTAGTAGAGACAGGGTTTCACTATGTTAGCCAGGCTGATCTCAAACTCCTGACCTCAAGTGATCCACCTGTCTCAGCCTCCTGCCTGTCTCGGCCTCCCTAAGTGCTGGGATTACAGTTGTGAGCCACCATGCCAAGCCTCAAATAGTTTTAATTAAAATGACTTCAGTTATTGGTTATCAAGGCTAAAAGACTTAATTCAGTGCTTTATTTTGACACTTGTCTGCAACATGTTACTTTTTTTTTTCTTGTGTCCTATGGGACCCAGTCATCTTATGTTAGACTCACAGAGGATTTAAAGAGATACATATGCATGTGCTAAGTTGATTCCTGTCTTGCTTTGTTATCCTATGTCTTAAATTAACATTATAAATTTCCCAAGAGTTTAATTAATAACTGGTCACTCATTTTTATGTAAACATCATACTTGAGACCAGAAATCTTCTGAACTGCTTCGTGGATCTCTGTCTACCATTCTCACTGGTCCTCTGTTCATTCCTTCTCTTCTAGAGCTTTTCCTTACCTTGGCTTCTCTTCTGCCACATTGGCCTGCCTGACTTGTCCTCAGGCCCTGTCACTGCCCTAAATTACATTCCCCATGTCACTCTTCATATCCAAATCTGGGCCTCTGGTTTAGACCCCCTCTCTTGACTGCCAGATGGCATGTCCCCTGTCCTCTGGTGTACATCTCCAAAGTGTCCCACGGGCATTTGTCTCAGATGATGTTTCTGGTTGGACTCATTCTTCTGCCCCAGCAGCCGACTCATTGAGCCATTCAGCACATTTTCTATATGGCAGATTGAGTGCTGTGTCTGGAAGTATATAAACAATTATAGAGTGCTTCCTTCTTCTGTTGAGGCAAACAAGGATTTGGATAATTTCTATTAATGCCGTGAATGTGGTATGTGGAAGATACTCTGAGGGCAGAAAGGGCTATTTCACAGTACAGCCCCCTTTGTGCTGCTCATGGCAGTCCCTCTAGAGGAGGTGAGCCTGAGCCATTGGGCAGATATTTCAGCTGTCACTTCCCAGTCCTGAGCTGATGACGCTAGTCCATCTTTCATGAGACCATTGGAGTGATCTTTCTGATCTTGTCACTTCTTGGTTTAAAGTTTCCCTGGGGCCTACACAGTGAAGTTCAAATTCAGCATGCTATTGTAAGACCCTTGTGATCTGGTCTTAACCATAGGTCAGGTATCCTATACATAGTGTTTATCTCGTGAATATCTCTATGCTCTTTGAGTCCAGCTCCTACCCCTACGTGTTCATACCTCACTTCTGTGACACAGCCTTCCTTCAGGTCTCCCAATCTCTGTAGCCTCCCTAAATTGTGCATTTGCTTTGCTGCATGATTTGTTTCTGTGACTGTCCCAGTCCCCTGGGGCCACATTATAGCAGGGACCTTGCCTTTGTCCTTTTGG